CGCGCCCACCGACAGAGAGCCGGCGAGAAGGATGGGCCCAGATCAGCCGAGTCAAACACGGAAAAAGGCGGCGAGAAAGCGCGGGCTGCGAGATCCCTGAGGCACGGCCAGTGCATGCAGGGTGCGCTGAAAACCAGCGCTCCAGGATGAGCGCTCGGGACCCAGGCCGGGAAGGTGAAAGCAAGCGGAACGCAGATCGGACCACAGAGCTTCGGAGGGAATTCTTGTCAATTGGGTTTTCGCGCCGTCCTGGGCGCAAGGGGCGGAGTTTACGGCTGCTTTGGAGGCTGCGCGGACGGTAAGCCGAGAGGGCCAAAATGACTCCCCTTGGCGAACTCGCGGGAGATGGAACCACCACACCGTGGGATTGAAGGCCAACCCGGGAATTTGGAAGTTTGAACTTCTTTCTTGCAGCCCAGTTTCGCCGTGGAGGACGTGATTTCACTAAGTTGCCTAATGAGTTGTTGACAGAATTAAAATTTAGACTCTTAACGCCCTAGGCTAGCCGCCCCGTCTCCCCCTTTTTTTTCTTTTTTGAGACTGAGTCTCTGTGGCCAGGGCCGACTGTAGTGCGCGATCTCGGCTCACTGCACCCTCCGCTTCCCAAATTCAAGCGATTCTCCTGCCTTGGCCTCCTGAGTAGCTGGTACTACAGGCGCGCAGCACCACACGGCTAATTTCTGTATTTTTAGTAGAGATGGGGTTCACAATGTTGGCCAGGATGGTCTCGATCTCTTGACCTCGTGATCTGCCCGCCTCGGCCTCCCAAAGTGCTGAGATTCCAGGCGTGAGCCACCGCGCCTGGCCGGCTAGCTCCTTTTTAAAGGTGAAATTGCCAGGCGCGGTGGCTCACTCCTAGAATCCAAGCACTTTGGGAGGTCTAGGAGGGTGGATCACAAGGTCAGGAGTTCGAGACCAATCTGACCAACATGGTGAAACCCCGTCTCTACTAAAATTACAAAAAATTGTTCGGGTGTAGTGGCTCACACTTGTAAACCCAGCACTTTGGGAGGCCAAGGCAGGTGGATCACCCGAGGTCAGGAGTTTGAAACCAGTCTGGTCAACATGGTGAAACCCCATCTCTACTTAAAATACAAAAATTACCCGTATGTGTGGTGCATGCCTGTAATCCCAGATACTCAGGAGGCTGGGGTAGGAGAATTGCTTGAACCTGGAAAACAGTGGTTGCAGTGAGCCAAGATCGTGCAACTCCACTCCAGCCTGAGCAATAAAGTGAGAAGACTCTGCAAAAAACAAAACAAAACAAAAAATTAGCTGGGCACAGTGGCGGGCGCCTGTAATCCCATCTACGCTAAAGGCTGAGGCAGGAGAATTGCTTGAACCTAGGAGGTGGAGGTTGCAGTGAGTCAAGATCATGCCACTGCACTCCAGCCTGGGCAACAGGGCAAGAGTTGGTCTCAAAAAAATAAAAAATTAAAAAAGCTGGGTCAGCTGGGCACGGTGGTTTACGCCTGTAATCCCAGCACTTTGGGAGGCCTAGGCGGGCAGATCACCTGAGGTCAGGAGTTTGAGACCAGCCTGGACAACATGGAGAAACCCCGTCTCTACTAAAAGTACAAAATAATTAGCCAGGCGTGGTGGCAGGTGCCTATAATCCCAGCTACTCAGGAGGCTGAGGCAGGAGAACCACTTGAAGCAAGGAGGCAGAGGTCGCAGTGAGCCAAGATTGCACCACTGCACTGCAGCCTGGACAAAAAGAGTGAGACTCCGTCTCAAAAATAAATAAATAAATAAATAAATAGCTGGGTCTAGTGGCAGGTGTCTGTAATCCTACTTACTAGGCAGACTGAGGTGGGAGAAATTGCTTGGGCCCAGGAGATAGAGGGTGCAGTGTGCACTGATTGCATCACTGCACTCCAGCTTGGGTGACAGACAAGATCCTGTCCCAAACAAACAAAAAAAAGGGGAGGCAGGAATGAAAGGTGGAGTCAGAGAGCAAAAATTGTTAACTGGGTCCAGTACAGTTAGGAGCTTTCTGAGAAGAGGTTGGAGACAAGAGGGAAAAAGCCTTTGCTGACCAGATGACCAAAGTATTCTGATCTGAATCCAACTCTCTGGCTACAACTTGATTTTCCAGCTATTGTGATTTTTTTTCAACAATTATATTCCTATTGTAAATAAATAAATTGGCAAGCTGCTTAGTTTGTTTCTTGGGAATCCTATTAGCAGGAGTCTGTGTCCAGGAATCCTCTGGGTACACTTGAAAAGTCTGTTCTAGACCAATGTGATGCCATGGAGATAATATCTCTGTAAAACCCTGTCTAACCGTCAGCTGACATTTACTTCCAAACCAGCTTCCTCTCTGTGATGGACAAGAGTGTTTACTTTTTAAGAGCTTGTGCTCCAAATTTAAAAACAATGCATATAAAAATTTCAGGCCTGGGCCGGGCGCGGTGGCTTATGCCTGTAATCCCAGCACTTTGGGAGGCCGAGGCGGGTGGATCATGAGGTCAAGAGATTGAGACCGGCCGGGCGCGGTGGCTCAAGCCTGTAATCCCAGCACTTTGGGAGGCCGAGGCGGGTGGATCACAAGGTCAAGAGATCGAGACCATCCTGGTCAACATGGTGAAACCCCGTCTCTACTAAAAATACAAAAAATTAGCTGGGCATGGTGGTGCGTGCCTGTAGTCCCAGCTACTCAGGAGGCTGAGGCAGGAGAATTGCCTGAACCCAGGAGGCGGAGGTTGCGGTGAGCCGAGATCGCGCCATTGCACTCCAGCCTGGGTAACATGAGTGAAACTCCGTCTCAAAAAAAAAAAAAAAAAAAAGAGATTGAGACCATCCTGGCCAACATGATGAAACCCCAGCTCTACTAAAATACAAAAATTAGCTGGGCGTGTTGGTGCACGCCTGTAGTCTCAGCTACTCTGGAAGGCTGAGGCAGGAGAATTGCTTGAACCTGGGAGGTGGAGGTTGCAGTGAGCCGAGATTGCACCACTGCACTCCAGCCTAGCGCCTGGGGACAGAGCAAGACTCTGTCTCAACAACAAAAAGAATTCAAGCCTGAGAGTGAGCAGTTTTAGAATATTTCTTTCTGTTTTCTTATTTGTTTTGTTTTTGGGTATTGTGTAGATATATTAAATACACATTTCTTGCCTTCCATCAGACTAAGAAAACCAAGTTGAATGAGACCAAGATTCGTGTCTTGGTTTTACAGAAGTTTTCCTTGTAATTTTACTTATTTATTTATTTATTTATTTTTCCCATTTATTTATTTTATTGCATTTTAGGTTTTGGTATTTTTTATTTTTATTTTTGTGGAGATAGGGTCTCGCTATGTTACCCAGGTTGGCCCCAACTCCTGGGCTCAAGGAATCCTCCCACCTCAGCCTCCTGAGTAGCTGGGACCACAGGAGGGCGCCACATGAGCGGCTAATTATTTTTTTTAATCTGTAGGGTCTCCACCTGCTGCAAAGGCTGGTCTCAAACTGCTGGGCTCAAGCAATCCTCCCACCTTGGCTTCCCAAGATTACAGATGGGAGGCACCACGCCCTGCCCATAAAGTTTTATTACTTACAGTCACACCCGTTGCAACAGAGACCTTCTGGTCTGGCAAGCCCAAGCCCAGCTTATTTTATTTACTACCTCGTCCTTACAGAAGACACTTGCCAACACCCTTCTTAGACTTGTGCCAGAATTGCTGTTCTGCTGGTCATCTCTTAGGCCTCTCTCTTGGATACCTCATTAGGCCACGAACTCCTGGGCGGTGACACCTGGGTTTTGCTGTTGCTGTTGTTTGAGACCAAGTCTCATTCTGTCACCCAGGGTAGAGAGCCAAGTGCAGTGGTGCAATCTTGGCTCACTGCAACCACTGCCTCCCAGGTTCAAGCAATTCTCCTGCTTCAACCCTCAAGTAGCTGGGATTACAGGTGCCCACAACCACACCTGGCTAATTTGTTTTTTTTTAGATGGAGTCTTGCTTTATCACCCAGGCTGAAGTGCAATGGAACAATCTCAGCTCACTGCAACCTCTGCTGCCTGGGTTCAAGCAATTCTCCTGCGTCAGCCTCCCAAGTAGCTGGATTACAGGCACCTGTAATTTTTGTATTATTACAGGCACCTCGTTAATTTTTGTATTATTATTATTTTTAGTGGAGACGGGGTTTCACCATTTTGGTCAGGCTGGTCTTGAACTCCTGACCTCGTGATACACCCGCCGTGGCCTCCCAAAGTGCTGGGACTGCAGGCGTGAGCCACCGCGCCTCGCTGACCCCTGGGTTTTAGTAACCTCCCCTAAGGCCTGGGCTGCTGAGAGATAGCAAAACAATGATTTAAGGACCAGGGCTCTCGTGTCAGATCTGGACTCAAATCATGTGGCCTGGAAAAGTCAATTCGCCACTTTTTTAAAAAAGTATTTTTTATTTAGAGACAGGGTCTTGCTCTGTCGCCCAGGCTGGAGTGCAGTGGCTCCATCACAGCTAACTGCAGTCTCAAACCCCAGGGCTCAAGGGATGGTCCCAAGTTGGGACTACAGGCGTGCTCCACTGCGCATTGCTAGTAGCAGTAGTAATAATAGTAGTAGCAGTAATAGTAGTAGAAACAGTAGTAGTATCTTTGGTTAGGCAGAGTTTCGCCGTGTTGTTTAGGCTAGTCTCGAACTCCGGGGCTCCAGGGCTCAAGCGATCCGCCTGCCTTGGCCTCCCAAAGTGCTGGGACTTTGAGCCACCGCGCTGGGCCAATTCCCCACTTTATCCCTCAGTTTCCTCGTCTGAGCAATGGAGATACAAGTAGGGCTGAAGGTTAGGCAAGAAAGCGATGAGTTGTGAGACGCACTTGGCGAGGTGCTGGTTATCAGTCTTGCCAGGCCTCAGCACGCTTCCCAAGGAGGTCCAGCCGGAGGCGCTGTGCCGCAGCACGGAAGAGGCGGGGTGAGCCATCGGGCGGGCGGCGCTGGGACCCGGACGCCACTTGCGCTAGGCACCACCGCGTGCCCGTCAATCAAGGTCTTCGTGGGGCGTGGCGCGGCGGGGCGGGGCGGGGCGGGGCGGTGCTTCCGCCTGCGGGAAGCCGCGCCGGGCCGCTCGGAGGTGCCCGGCACAGTCGGGAGTTTGCGCCAGCTACCGCCGCCGTCTGTGCGGCCCGATGAGGGGGGCGATGGAGCTGGAGCCTGAGCTGCTGCTGCAGGAGGCCCGCGAGAGCGTGGAGGCGGCGCAGAGCTACCGGCGGGAGCTGGGTCACCGGCTTGAGGGGCTGCGGGAGGCGCGGAGGCAGGTCGGAGGGCCGCGCCCAGAGGGGCGCCGTGGGCCCAGGGGCGGCGCGGGTGCAGGGCGAGGGCAGGGAGGGCTTCGAGGGGCGGGAGTGTCCGAAAACTCTGGAGTAGGGAAGAGGCATTCATTGAAGGTGAAGGGAGACCTAGTGGGGTCTGGGAACGGGAAAGGTAGAAGTTGGGGAGGTCGTACGGGGAAGTTTTGGGGGTGGAGGGAGGGTGTGAGGAGCGCTCCCTAAACTGTGGGACAGCCGTGGGATTAGCGGTGCCTTCCGAAGTTGGGGAGAGTGAGGGACCAGAGCAGAATCCGAGGGGGTCACGCGGGTAGTGGTGAGTCGGGGGAGGAGACTATTTGGGAAAACCTGGGGGGTAGACATGGATTTTGGAGACCCTGAAGAAAGGGTAGGACAGTGACCTGGGAAAGCTGAAAGTGGAGACAAAATGGATATTGGAAGGGGAGGACTAAGGGGCGAGAGTGAGGGAGAGGTAGGATTGAGAAGCAGTAGTGTTGACAATAAATGAATTCCGTTAATGCCTGAATATACGATCTTGAATGCATTTAAAAAATCATTTAGGGTAATCCCGTTCTAGAAGGTTTAAAATTTAAGGTGAAAGTGAAGCTATGTTGGAAAAGTAGAAGGAGGAAAATGATTTCGTTGTCCTTGAGAGAGAATACAAAGGTATAGGGAAAAGAAAAAAAAACAGATTTTAAGAGAGGAGTGCTGAAAGGAAAAGCTAAATATACTTTCAAGTGGTGCAGTTATCTGTTTCACGGGGATTGAGTTATCAAAGATACAGGAAAGCCCTGTGGTTTCTCTACAGCCTCGAACATATACAGAAAAAGATATAACCTGCTGCCATTGGGAGATAGGACAGATAATCTTCAGGCTACTATTAACACAACTGCTTAATAAGTGCTTTTTTTTCTTTTTTTTTGACAGAGCCTTGCTCTGTCACCCAGGCTGGAGTGCAGTGGCGCGATCTTGGCTCACTGCAACCTCCACCTCCCAGGTTCAAGTGATTCTCCTGCCTCAGCCTCCTGAGTGGCTGGGATGACAGGCGCGCACCACCACCCTCAGCTAATTTTTTTGTATTTTTACTAGAGACGGGGTTTCACCATGTTGGCCAGGCTGGTCTTGAACGTTTGACCTCGTGATCTGCCCGCCTCGGCCTCCCAAAGTGCTGGGATTACAGGCGTGAGCCACCGTGCCCGGCCATTAAGTGCTTTATGAGTGAGTGGGATTCCATTTGAATTTATCTGGGTCACACTTAGTATTAATCTATATGGTCATCTTAGAACTCCCATGGTGTATAGAACCCGAAAATGGTAGAAAACTGCTGCCCTAACAGTGTCTTTGGATATTGTCATCATTAAGGACACAACATGTTTTGGGATGTGTATGTATATATATATATATATATATATATATATTTTTTTTTTTTTTTTTGAGATGGAGTCTCACTCTGTTGCTCAGGCTGGAGTGCAGTGGCACTGTCTCAGCTCACTGCAACCTCCGTCTCCCGGGTTCAAGAGATTCTTCTGCCTCAGCCTCCCGAGTTCAAGCCATTCACCTGCCTCAGCCTCCCGAGTTCAAGCCATTCACCTGCCTCAGCCTCCAGAGTAGCTAGGATTACAGGCCTGCACCACCACACCTGGCTAATTTTTGTATTTTTAGTAGAGATGAGGTTTCACCAAGTTGTCCAGGCTGGTCTTGAACTCCTGACCTCATGATCCACCTACCTTGGCCTTCCAAAGTGCTGGGATTTTTTTTTTTGAGATGGAGTTTCGCTCTTATTACCCAGGCTGGAGTGCAATGGCGCAATCTCAGCTCACTGTAACCTCTGCCTCCTGGGTTCAGGCAATTCTCCTGCCTGAACCTCCTGAGTAGCTGGGATTACAGGCACGCGCCACCATGCCCAGCTAATGTTTTGTATTTTTAGTAGAGACGGGGTTTCACCATGTTGACCAGCATGGTCTCGATCTCTTGACCTCATGATCCACCCGTCTCGGCCTCCCAAAGTGCTGGGATTACAGGCTTGAGCCACCGAGCCCGGCAGGATTTTATATATTTTAAAATATTTGTATTTGCCCAGCTGGGTTTTATATATTTAAAATATTTGTAAAGCCGGTGTAGGCCAGGCATCATTTGTATTTTAGTAGTGAAACCAGAAGCAGAATCTAGATATGATTATCCTGATTTGCTGAATATTTTCAAGGCCTTTCAGTGCACTCATTTCGATTTCTGTTTGAGAACATCTGCATTATTCCTTCTGCTGTTTTGAAATAGGGACTCTAGATCTAAGACATTGCATAAAAAGAAAGATTAGTATACCTCTTATTATATGACTAACATTTCAACCAGTTAAGACATATTACATATGAGCATGACTATTGTTTGTGCATTCTCAGCATTAGCAATTAAGAAGCAGTAGAATTGACACTAAATGAATGAGTTTAGCACCTGGGAGTAGTTACTAATTTCTTGTGATCTTGGATACATTAAAAAAACTACATGATTGTACCCTAGATGGTTCACTATTCAATTTTCAAACCTATATATTTTATTTTATTTTATTTATTTATTATTATTTTTTTAAAGACGGGGTTTCACCATGTTGGTCAGCCTGGTCTTGAACTCCCGGCCTCAGGTGATCTGCCTGCTTTGGCCTCCAAAGTGTTTGAATTACAGACGTTGAGCCACCACGCCAAAGCTGTATTTTTTTTTCTTTCTATATCCAACAATTTAAACACAAGACATGCTTTTCTGTAATTCAGTTTAGTATGAGATTTGTTTTGTTTTGTTTTTGAGGCCCATTGTCTTGGGCTTCAGACAGAAAACACTAAATGGATGTCTATCACAATTAGGTTTCTTATGACATTACCTTCTGACTAGACTGAGTAATAACGTAGTTCTCTTTTGTGAGTATGAGTCTCTTTTGGGAATGTGTTTTGTGCCGATGGCAGTTAAAACAGCATCTCTCAAGCCGGGCATGGTGGCTCACGCCTGTAATCCCAGCACTTTGGGAGGCCCAGGCGGGTGGATCACGAGGTCAAGAGATCGAGACCATCCTGGTCAACATGGTGAAACCCCGTCTCTACTAAAACTACAAAAAATTAGCTGGGCATGGTGGCGCGTGCTTGTAATCCCAGCTACTCAGGAGGCTGAGGCAGGAGAATTGCCTGAACCCAGGAGGCAGAGGTTGCGGTGAGCCGAGATCGTGCCATTGCACTCCAGCCTGGGTAACAAGAGCGAAACTCCGTCTCAAAAAAAAAAAAAAAAAAAAAAAACCAAGAAAAACCAGCATCTCTCGAACTCTAGTGGACTGTACATGTTTGGGTTTGTGGCATAAGTCCTCTGTCAACTTGCATTTTAAGGAAGGTCTATGGTACAAAAATATTATCAAAATAAGCAGCTGCTTTTGTTTGGTGGTTAGGATATTTTTAGGTTTCCAGTCATTTTCAGAATAACTATGTAAAATATATGGTACTTTAGTCAAGGATTTTGCATGGGAGAAACATGAGAAGAACAGAGAGGAAGGGATGCTACCTGTTATCTATATTTTTTACTTGCTGATTTTATATCTTTTTGGCAGATTTTTTTTTTTTTTTTTTTTTTTTTGAGACAGGGTTTTGTTATGTTTCCCAGGCTGGTCTCCAACTCCTGGGCTCAAGGATCCTCCCACCTCTGCCTCCCAAATACAGGTGTAAGCAACTGTGCTGCCTGGCATGTGATTTTTTTTTTCTCTTTTTTTTTTTTTTTTTTTTTTGGGACAGTTTCGCTCTTGTTGTCCAAGCTGAGTGCAATGGCGTGATCTCGGCTCACTGCAACCTCCGCCTCCCGAGCTCAAGGGATTCTCCCGTCTCAGCCTCCCGAGTAGCTGGGATTACAGGCATGCGCCACCATGCCAGGCTAATTTTGTATTTTTAGTAGAGATGGGGTTTCTCCATGTTGGCCAGGCTGGTCTCGAACTCCCGACCTCAGATGATCCTCCCGCCTAGGCCTCCCAAAGTGCTGGGATTACAGGCGTAAGCCACCATGCCCAGCCTGTGATTTTTTTGTTGAGATATAATTCACATACCTGAAAGTCATGCCTTAAAGTTTACAATTCAATGGTTTTTAGTATATTCACAGAGTTGTCCAACCATGACCACTGGTTTTTCATCACCCCAAAAAGAACTCCTTAGCTGTCACTCCCATACCCCCTGGCAACCACAAAACTGCTTTCTGTCTCTATGGATTTGCCTATTCTGGACATTTTATATAAATGAACTCATACCATGTGTAGCCCCTTGTGACTGACTTCTTTGACTCAGAATAATGTTTCAAGGTTCATTGATGTGGTAGCATGTAACAGTATTTCAAACCTTTTTATGGCTGAATAATGATTATGTGGATATACCATATTTTATTCACCCATTCATCAATTACTCGACATTTGGATTATTTTCACTTTTGACTATTATGAATAATGCTGCTATGAAGAATTTGTGTATAACTTTTTGTGTGGACATGTTTTCAGTTCTTTCAGAATATAGCTAGGAATTGCTGGATAATATGGTAACTTTTTGTTTAACCCTTGCAGAAACTCTTGGCATACCTTTTATCTTTTTTTTTTGAGATGGAGTCTTGCTCTGTTGCCAGGCAGGAGTACAGTGGTGTGATCTCAGCTCATTGCAACCTCTGCCTCCCGGGTTCAAGCGATTCTCCAGCCTCAGCCTCCTGAGTAGTTGAGACTACAGGCATGCACCACCATGCCCAACTAATTTTTATTATTATTTTTATTTTTATTTATTTATTTATTTATTTATTTTGAGACGGAGTTTCGCTCTTGTTACCCAGGCTGGAGTGCAATGGCGCGATCTCGGCTCACCGCAACCTCCGCCTCCTGGGTTCAGGCAATTCTCCTGCCTCAGCCTCCTGAGTAGCTGGGACTACAGGCACGCACCACCATGCCCAGCTAATTTTTTGTATTTTTAGTAGAGACGGGGTTTCACCATGTTGAC